CCTATAAGTTTATGCTGAGCAGTACTTGGAAATGGAGCCAATTGATGTGACTTTATATCCATACGTTAAATGTAACTGCGCATGTTATCTACGTAGTGTCTTATGCAAAGCTGTCACTCGTCCATCAAAACGCTTAATCTTAATATAAATAAAAGTCATTGTGGGTATGTATGTATGTGGATATGTGTGTAAGTTCCACATCTCCTCCTAAACCACTGCACCAGTTTCAATCAAGCCTTGTATACTTATTATTTAAGACAAGGGGAAGATACCTGTCAACTTTTCAAAGAGCAAAAATTACTTAAACAGTCAGTTAATTTGAAATTAATCGAAACCGTTTTTCCGTTGTAAGTTCGGAGCAAATTTTTCCAATAAAAATACTCTTATACCATTTTAAAGTTTAAACGTTTACCTTTACAATGATATATCTGTGACATTTTTCCTTTAATTTTTATTAATTTTTCGAAATTTAATAAATAGTTGATTACACGCAGACGATTTTGAAATAAAGCAAATTGATACTCCGTTCCTGGGCAACGGTGTAATTATTTTACCATTATTTTCTGATATTTCTCTCTATTTATTAATTTTTTTTGAAATATCGTTTGGCAATGTTTTCAACTATTTTAAAAGAATTCTAAAGCTTATTTAATTAGATTAAAAAATCGCTGCAGTTAATATCGCCTGTCATCTTTACCCGCGTTTTCTACGAAATAATAAATAAGTAATATTTTAATTGAAAATATATAACTTACGAGATTCGAAGTTGTGTTTTAACAATGCCTAAAAGAAAACATAGTCAATCTCTCAAATTCCAGAACAGCCAAAGATAATAAAGCTTTTGTAAGCAAATGAAACATATGTTTGACAACAAGGCACGCTCCAGAAATGTCGTTTACAGGCAAGCATTGGATTAATGTAAGTTTTTGTAGCCTTAATCTCTGTAGTTGAGAGGCTGTGGTTTTGTGAATGTTTATTGTTTATATTTTAATGCAGAGTCCGGACATGAGGTCTTTAAAACAAGATAAAGGTCACTGTCAAGTTTTCAAAGTTCAAAAGTTAATTAAAAATTTAGCAAGATTTTGGCGTTCTACCGCGACATCTTCCGAAAATGTTATCTAACAAAAACTAATTTTACACAATATTGTTTAAAAAATAAGCTTTTCAGTGATACTTATTTCATTTCCATGCAATTTTTTTCTCTCATTTTAATAAATTTTTCAAAATTAATTTGATACACAATTTGTAACATTATTCTTTTTAGTGTTGATAAACAAAAATTCACATACAAAGAACTGTTGCAAAATAAACCTTAACAAAATTCTGGAAATCACTAAAAGAAAAGTTTAAAAGCAGACAATTCACAATTTATACCAGGAACAACTTTTGATTTGGTTTACTGTCATGTTTTTCATTAACCCTCTAAGCGTTTCACACGTATTTTTCCGTTCCTCATATTGAGTTCAAAAGCAGATAACGCATGTTTATGTGTATAATTTCTTAAGCTACCACGAATAAAATTTTCTTAAGATTTCAGAGATTTGATTAAACGCAATAAGGATCCAATTATACACTTTAAAGGCAAATTTTTAAGACTTTAAAGCTAGTACATCAAAATAGCTAACCACTCAGAGGGTTAATCAAAAAGTTATTAATTGTCCCAAAAAGTCAATTAAAACCTTTCTTATACTTCAGTATTTGTGAAAAAAATTTGAAGTACTTATATAACAAATATTAAGGAGAAAATTAGCTTTCGGCGTTTTTTAAAAAACGTTTGCTTTAATTGATGTTCTCATTTTAATTTAAAAACGTTTCACACGATAAAAGGAATTTGTGTATTATAATATTTATACAAAAGTATTTGAATTCTGAGTAACGCCGGGTATATATATCAGCTAGTCTATAATATAAAACAGAAAATACATGTGTCTGTCTGTCGGTCACAAGAACTGCTCCTAAACGGTGAACAGTATCGTCATGAAATTTGCACACGACTTTCTGGGATGCATTTTTAGGCGAATTGTGCTATTTTCAATTTTCAAAATTAATTAATTCTTTAAAAAATTAATTAAATAATGAAAAATAAGCCATTTTTTGGCGTTTTTCTCCACTAACTTCTGAAATATTTATGACACGAAAATCATTTTTACACCATCTTAAAGAGCAAAACATTATCTTTTAATTGATATTGATTTCATTAAGGTACAATTTTTTTAATTGTAATTAAAATTTCAAAATTTATTTTTAACGCAATTTGTAATAACGATCGCGCTTTCTATTCTTATAAAATTAAATTTATGCCAATTTATTTTGTCATCAAATCCTTCATTCACGTGCTTTTGCCAAGAAAATATTGTTTGCTTTCTTTGGACATAATATCCAAGGCGGAATTTTTACTTCCGGTTTTATGTCGTAGCATACACCCCTTTTTAATATGGTTAAACAGTAATCCAGTGACGTTACTTAATGATGTGTGATGAGAGTTTGGGATGTTTTGTTAAATTTTCACAAATTTTTAATTGGTCTTAATAAGTTTGTTAAGTCTTTCGAGGTTACTTAGTCCGGTTCCTATAGAAGGGAGAGGACCTAGGGAGAAAAAAGATGTTTTAACGGTTTATCTGTCATCAGAACTCCTCATATATGGTGGACGGCAGCGACATGAAATTTGCACATGATATTTTGGAGTGCATTTCTGAGTCAATTGAGGTTTCTCTAACTTTCAAAAATAATTATTTCTGAAGATATTTAATTAAAAAACAAAAATTAAGCCAATTTTTAGAGTTTTTTTCACAGTTTCTCGCCAATATTTCCTCAATTAAATATTGTACGAAGAGTTTTTATGTACCATTGTAAAGAGCACAGAATTATTTTTTAAAAAATCATACAATATTCCCCCCCCAATTTTAATCAGCATTTCAAATTTCAATCACAATTTGTAACAATGCTTTGTATTAGTGTAATTCAATTCAATTCAATTTATTGTTTTATCAAATCCTTCATTCTGGTGCTTTTACTACTGTTAAAGTTAGGATAAAAAATATTGTTTTCTTTGAATATTAACAGAAAGGCAAAATTTTTAATTCTCCTCTACCTTTGTAGCATGTACCTCTCTCAATGCTTGCACCGCAATCCAATGACGTTAATTACTCTCTCTATGGGATGTTTCATTTAATTTTAGAAATTTTTAAGTGATCCTAATGAGTGTGTAAAATAAGTCAAGATTATTGTGTCCGGTTTTTACCGAAGGGAGAGGAACTAAGGAGAAAAAGGAAGAACTCTATGCAGTGCCTTTTCGGTCAGTCATACAAACACTAAAAAGAAGAGTATTGTACTCCGTATATTGGCAATAAAAACAAAGATATGAAAGAGCTTCTGTTTATGTCGTAGCAATGATGGAGTGGAAAAATGGAACACTAAGGACTGCTAGATTCGTGTTAGATTGTTCAAACTACGGAGAGAAAAAAATGAGGAGGGTTTAATTGATGGCCGAGGGAATCAGACACTGGTTGGACGACTGAAAATGAACGAAAGACACTGCTGCGAAAAACTGTTTATTTAAGTTTAAAGTATTATGAGTAGTAATTAGACCTGAAAATATTTTTACCCCGAGCAACGCTGGGTTCATCAGCTAGTGGATTATAAAATTAAATTGTCAAAACGTGTTTGAAGTGCATAAAAAAGATTAAGGTGACTACGAGAATCTTTTGTGTGTGTGAATCACTGGAATAATATTAAAGATTCACAATAAATCCATATTAATATAACAAAAGGTTGTACAAAGTAATTTTGTAAAATAAACAAATAATGCGATGTAAATATTTGTGCTGTTTTATAGAAAATGTATCTCAACAAGATTGAAAAAATTATCGTCTCTGCTCTGAATCGCATGTGTATTCTTTTATTTCTCTTCTTCTGCGACAGTTCAGATTGTGAAGCATAAGAAAACACTGAGGTGAGAAGCGTCCAGATTTTTACTTCCTTTTGTGATCAAAGTTTAATAAGAAACATCCTTGAGGGAAAACTTGAGTAGTTTCAATTTTTTAATTCAAGGACATGGTATTATAACAAAATCGATTTTTGCGTTATGACTGCAGGCTCGAACCATGTTAATGCTTGAACGGCATCATTATTAACTTTAAACAATAGGAATAGTTAAAGCACGGAAAAGGAAGTCTCCTCTGAACAAAGGAAACAATAGCTGCTTAATAACAGAAAGTAAATGAATTTAAAATGAGTACAAAAGAGTGCTGTCAACTGTTAGGACTTTAGATAAATTACTGTTTGCTTAGAAATGTTGTATCGTTTTTGAGCCATTAAAAGCACTGATTGCTTAGAATTTTTAAAGTTCAGTTCTTCACACATAGATCCTTAACCTTTAAAGGCCCGATTTTTTAAAAATTGATTTTAAAATGTTTTTTGGCTTGATTTCTTGAATAAAACATGGGAGAAATACTTTGAAAATCCTATTTTGTTTTAAGTATTGTTTATGGTTAAAAAACAGTTTGTTACCAACTGAAAACACTGGGCTTTATTTCAGAAAAATATTCCTTTATGAAATTCTATGACGTTAAACACAGATAAATTGTAATAAATAATAATACGGATTAAGAGAATTTCTTTCAATATCGTAGAATAAAATATACTATTCTCAAGCGTACAAACAAAGCAAAAGCAATGCAACCTAAAGTGAAAAATATCAATTTATTTTTATTTTTTTTAATAAGCGCCCAGGCTGCCATCTATATGTTGTATTTTGATTTAATAAAAATTTCAGTATATATTCTATTGGCAACAACAGGCTCTAGAGTTTCAGTCTTATTCTCAAGATTTTAGAAGCTGGGTATGTTGCTTAAAGGTAACACTGGTCCTTTGAGAGCCAAATTTTCATACAAGTTTAACACGTTAAGTTGAAGGGCTGACAACATTGGCATATTATGATAAATGAAAATTTAGGCTGATATTAAAACAGCATTTCACGCTTCTCGAATGCGAAGAGCGCGTTCCAAATGGTCTAGAGTTTCGGTTACCTGGCTCTCACCCAAGAGCCCCGGGTTCGATTCCCTGTGTGTGAAGTTATTTTTGCCCGGACAGTTTTTAGTCATATTAGAATTCCTCCCAACTTGCGTGGATCGAAATTTGTATACTTCCAGCCATTCTCCCCACATTTGTGGGTTGAGTCATTGTTCCTGTACTTTTAAACACTGCCGCGGTTAGAGCAATGCCTTTTAAGTTTTTATTTTGGTTTTTAATAAATCCTACACGTGGGGCTGGGTGGCCCGGCGGGCCTTCTCGTATGGCCTTACGGTTCTCCTCCACCGGTCCCTCTCCGGCTTTAAGGCCCGGTGCATTCTAGCCGATTCGTGTCGTTGAAGCTATAAACATAACAATAGTAACCCACATGCTCCCTGTGGAGATACACAGGGGGGATGGGGTTGTTATTTTTATAGTTTGAATGACACAAATCGGCTAGTGTGCCCCGGGCGTAAACCCTGCTTGGGTAAGTTGAGCCAGTGAGAGCATGAGTCAACTTGCACTCTAAAACCCTAAGGTTGAGTCGACTCTCCTGGGTATTGAATGAATGAATGAAAAAAGAGAAAAATATTGCAAAAAAGTGAACCTATTTTTTATTAGCCTAGATTTTAATGAACCATCGCTTGTTGGACTTACTCGATTTCGGAAACTATTTTCGGAAATATGTATGTCTGTCGAGAAGGCAGCTCAAAAGTGGAACGAACTAGACAAATGAAGTTTGATATGTGAATGTTTCGACAAATTGGTAGATCGATATCAAAATAAGAACCAAATCTGTCAACTACAAGTCTCTTCGTCTGTTTGGGCGTGGAGTTTTGTCTGTAGCATGTTATTTTTCAGTGCCTACATATTAAGGATTACTGGAAAACTCTACAGCAAATACTTGACACTTCAGCGAAGGACTGATCAGTCGCCCTGATTTCATTTATTAGTCTTCGGTCGGGTGCAATACAAATGCTAACTCGCGCAACTCATGTGTGAGATAAAAAGTTAAATATTAGCTTAGGCTTATGGAAGGGCTTATCCAATTAAACTATTCGGTCAAACAAAGCTATATTTGCGTTTTTAAATCACTTTTTAGCATTTCCTACCAATTTCAACTAACAAAATGTCTAAGAATTCAGGAGGGAGTTGACACTTGTTTTCCCGTAAAGTTAATCAGCGATGACAATTGTTGTCGTTGAGAGCCTGAAATAATTCGACATTTTTAAACAATATATTGGAAATAACGCTCATTACCATTGAATTAGGGGCTTGGATACAGGTATACGAACTTTAACAGGTATATGAACTTTTGCAGGTATATAAAAAGAAATATCGAGAAAAAATTGGGAAATCAAAAATTCGAAGAGTAATCGGGCACAAGTCATCTACCAGATAAAAGTGTGCCTCACGTAGGTTCATTTGCGACTGTTTTTGGTTGTGATTTTGTCTGCTCTCGGAAAATTCTTCGGGAAAACACGTAAGAAATATTTTTTCAAGTTAATTTATTGTGTGATTTCAAGATTGTGCGCTCCCAAGCAGTGGCGTATCTACATAAAATGGCAACCAGGGCAAATTCCAAAACTGCGCCCTCCCCTCTTTCTTTTGAAATGTGATTCTCGTTTTCTTTTCAGAAACTTTATGCCGGGGAGTGAAAAGATTAAAAGTGCAAATAAACTTAAAAATAATATATAAAACATTTTTGAGTTTATAGGACATTTATTTAGACATAACAATTCTATTTTACAAAATTTCGCTTCATTTTCTCAGAAAATTTGAGAGACTTTAATCCTTTAAATATGGCTCAAGTAAGAAATTCAAAGTTGTTTGTAAGAAACTTTGGATGTATTAGAAAAATATGAATAAAAGTACTTGACTCGTATTTGAAAAATAATATAAACTGTGTACAAATCTCTTAATCCATTGGGAAAAAACCATACACGCACGAATAATAATGAATAAAAAATTATTTTTATTACTTCTTTGCTCATAGACAGTATTACACATATAGACACATTACGGCAGGAACTGGATTTCCCTTATTTATGTAATTGTTCACGTCAATTATTAAAAAATCGCTTTCATTTATCTTGATATTAACGTGAATACGGACTCATAATTTTTACTTTCAATTTCAAACTTTATGCGATCTTTTCTCTCTCTCTTTCAGTAATTTTTTTGGCGAACAACTGCATCTGGGTTTGCGAAATAAGATTTAAAATAAACACTATCGCATTTTCAGCATACATATTATGGAAATACCTTTTGAGAGAAAGGTTTTCGAGCCCTTTTGCTTTGATGGTCACTTTTCTACATCTGTCGTTTATAGCCTTTTGACAATAATCAAGCAATACTTTTAGGCAAATTTTGCAACCCACGCGAGACATGTTGTCTGCTTCAGACAATGATTTTCTTTCGGATCTGTCTGTTTAGATTGATTGCCAATACGGGGCAGATTCAAACCTATGGTCCCCATAAGGCATTTATTTTTAGCCGCTGACCACTCAGAAATCACAAGGATTCCCGATTTGGTGAAAGTGGCTGTTGCTTTGACCAAGTGGACGTGCACAATGGGTTACTTGATTGCTTGGCAGGAGTCTTGGCTGTTTCTGACCACGTTTGGCGGGAGAAAAATTATTCATCCGGTGCTTTGAGCACAAGTAATTTTGGCGATTGGCATGGGGCTATAAAGGATTAAAAGAACGACCTGGAAAGCAGGGTTAAAAAAGGAACGGGGAATTAGAAAAGGAGACAGAGATAGAGAGGTGGAAGAGAAGTTCCTTTGGAGAAAATTGGACGGATGTGTGGCAACATCGAATGCAAACAAAAGGTGTTTTTTTATTTTTTGAAGGGAAGGCGGCCATGACTGACTGCTCAGCTACGCAGCGGATGTTGTGCAAGTGCTATAACCTTAGCATGTGGGCTTATAATGTTTGTAACAAAAACCAACCAGTGAGGACTACCTGTCGTGGAGATGCGCCCGAATAACAGCCTAGCAAGAGCTTTTGAATGAGAACGACCGTGTCTTCGCCTGCTGATTCTGAAATGAAGGTGAGAAAACACTTCGGATATCAGGTCCTGTGCTAACATTGCGGATCACCGACGTTGTTGACAAGCTGACGAACTGCTAAGATTCCGGCCACCGAAAAGCAGGAGCCCCAGCCGAAATCCCATGCCAAATCCGACTGACAGGAAGCTCGATGAGGGAACTCGTGACTGTGAACTGCAGCTTCAATGAAAGTATAAGCCAGCTGTTTTAGAAAATCAAGAGAGGATCCTGTACGGAAAGACACCCACCCTGACTGCCAAACTCAGGTATGTGCGCTTGGTCACAGTCCCAGCCCAGATGTCCTTCATTTAAATTGTAGATAAGTGCTCGTTTTGATTTTGCAATGTTTTGATATAATGTAAATTAATCTTTAGACTTGATTATCAATTTAAATTTGATGTGCGTATAGGTTTCAATTTTGAAACATAAAGACTAAAAGGGGGCATAGATTCAAATTTGATTTTGGGTATATCCAGGGTCTAGTAGAGTACTCATTTGGTAATTGAAATTATTGCTATGGAATTAATCCATGTGTAATCAATGTCATAATATCTAAGACTAAATCATATAATAACTAATGCTGTGGTAAAAATTAAGTAATTTAGAGACTAAAGTTGGGTAAATTTGAGTGAATGTTAATTGTGTATCGCTGGCGTGAATTGTTTGTTAAAGAAATTCACACACATGAGTGTTTGAAATTGAAATCAATTAAAGATTTAATGTAACTAAGGTTTTATCTTTGCAGTTAATAAGCAAAAGAGAAAGAGATGAATTTTGAGTAAATTTCCAACCCTATCTTCACAAAAGATTAGGTAGATAATTGTCCAATTGAATACATTGATTTTAGAACTAAAGCATTGAAAATTGGGGTTTTGACAAATTAATCTTCACCGTTAATGCTCAAATGTTCCTAGTGCATGTAGTGCTGAGCATTACCTATTATTTTAAAATTTGATTTCATTTGTCTAATGGAAAAGTTCATAACAAACATGTTTTCTGAACTTCACAACTGACTGCTGATAGTATTTATCTGTTTTTCTTGTGTGTCTAAATTTTGTATGGAATGAAATGATTCTTTCAACGTGTGCTTCAATGTAAATCTCATCATCTTATGTGTATTTCACCGCAAGAAGTTGCGCGGAATTTCCAGCGGTCACATCGAGGCCCGTTAGCTCCGCTGGTTAGAGCGTCGTGCTAATAACGCGAGGGTTGTGGGTTCAATCCCCCCATTGGCCAGGTTCGTTTATAATTTTGGAAGAATGACATATAATTATGCCAAACTATTTGGCAGTGGCTTCATAGAATGTTTTACGTCGCTCAATAGAGATTCATATAAAATAGTCAAAAGATATCTCTTTGTACGTGTATTTCACGTGGTACGTGGTATGTCGTTTTTATTATTTTGCTAATCATATCTAATTATGCCAAACTATTT